ATCTCCTCATCCATCATCAAGAGGAACGGGACCTCCCTGAGAGGACCAGCAAGAGGCTATGTAAGGTAATTCATATGTGAAGTGCTCTTAGCACAGTGTCAGGTACACAGTTGGTGCTTAATAACTGCAAGCCATCGTTATTCCAGGCAGTCAGTGCTGAGCTAGCTACCTTCCTCGCATGTCTCGATTTGTGTCTCTTGCCCCAGTGGATACCGAAAAGATTTCCTGTCTCATTACTGCCTGTAGATAATGAACCAGAAGGCCCAGGGCAGGGCTTGGCCCTAATTCCAGTGTCTCAGCCATGTCACCCACTTACCCACTGTTGACGAGCCCTGCTCTGTGCCCACCGCTGCACTAAGTCTTGCGGAGAGACTGGTGGGCAAAACTCAGTACGGTGGGAAGACAGAGAGAAGGGAATCTAATCATCGCACAGACAGGTAATCGTCAAGTGTCACAAACGCTGTGAAGGAAAAGGTTCAAGGCATGTAGATAAGACCCTGGAGCTGAGGTCCCGAGGATGTCCTGCAGCCACGCCAGGACCACAGCGGCCCAGGCTGGAGCAGAGAGCGGGCTGAAGTCATCACGGAGATGAGGCAGTGATTCCCCCCTCAAAGTGTGCAATCTGATAAATCTGTTACACGTGTACACCTGTGAAACCACCACCATCGTCAAGACGAAGCATTTCTAATACCTTAGAGTCTCCTTGTGCCCCTTGGTAATCCCTCCCTCTGGCCCCTCCAGGCCACCACTGATCTGCTTTCTGTCACCACAGAGGACTTCGCATTTTCTAGAGCTTTCTATAAATGGAATCATACACTGTATTCTGTTTTTTTGGTTATGGTTACCTTCACTTAGCATAATTATTATTTTGAGATTCACTTATATTGTTTATATCAATAGTTCATTCCTTTATATCGTTGAGTTGTATTTCATGGCTATGTCACAATTTATCTATTCACCTATTAATGGAAATTTAGATGATTTCCAGCTTACGGCTATTACAAGTCAAGCTGTGTGAACATTCAAGCAAAAGGATTTACGTGGACGTATGTTAACATTCCTCTTGGGTAAATACCTAGGGGAAGGGTGGCTGGATTGTGTGGCAGGTATAGGCTTCACCTTTCAAGAAACAGTCAAACTGTTTTCCAAAGTGGATGTACCATTTTGGGATTTATTTTTTGGTTTTTTGTTTCTGAAGAGGAACTATTTAATTTAATTTTTATTAAGTGATTCTTTAAATTCTATAGTACTTCACAATTTTCAAAAGTTTCACACACATGATTTCATATAATCCAATAATAATCCTTCCCTCTCCCCCACTGGTAACCGCTAGTTTTTTCTCTGTATCCGTGAGTCTGCTGTTTGTTGTTTTATTCACTAGTTTGTCGTATTTTTTAGATTCCACATATAAGTGATATCATACAGTTTTTGTCTTTCTATGTCTGGCTTATTTCACTTAGCAAAATGCCCTCCAAGTCCATGCATGTTGCTGCAAATGGCAAAATTTCATTCTTTTCTAGGCTGAGTAGTATTCCACACACATACACACCACAGCTTCTTTTGGACGTACATTTTGCATTCCCAGTAGCACTGTCTGAGAGTTCCAATTCTTCCCCATCTCTGCCAACATTTGGTACGGTCAACCTTTTAAATTTTAGCCACTGTACCCCATGAGTGGTGACATCTAACTGTGGTTTTAACTTTCATTTCTTTAAAGGCTAATGATGTGGAGCATCTTTTCAGGTACTTATACACCATCGGTATATGTTCTTTGGTGAGGTGTCTGTTCAAACCTTTTGACCATTTATTCATGGGGTTGTAAAGAGTTCAATATGTCTGCTCTTTACAAAGGTGTGGGCAGGATTTAGGGAAAGGAACAAGGGGTGGTGAAGCTCTCTCCACAGGCAGGAGCTGTAATCCCCCAGCCGGAAAGGAAGAGGGGAGAGTCAGGTTACCAGACTTCAAGAGGAAGCTGTCTGCGGAGGGCTGCCCATGATGGGAACTGTGTGTTGGCGCTCATCTCCCACATCTGCGAAAGGGGATGGGGAAACGGCACCTGCTTCATGGGGCTGTTGTGCAGATTTAACAAGTCAACGTGTGTAAAGTACAGCACCAACCCATGGGTGCCCAGCAGGGAGAAAACCAGGTATGGCCGGTAGAATAATAATCCCCCTAAAGCTGTCTGCATCCTAATCCCCAAAAGCTGTGACTAGGTGACCTTACATGGCAAAGGGGACTATGCAGACATAACTAAGTTTACAGAGCTTGAGATGGGGAGATTCTCCAGATGTGTTCAGTGTAATCACAAGGGTCCTTAGACGGAGGCAGGAGGGTCGGAGTCAGAGGAGATATGATGATGGAAGCAGAGGTCAGAGAGAGGAGAGAAGGACTCAACCTGCCAGTGCCAAGAGGGCAGGAGGGATGGAGGAGGGAATGCAGCCCTGTGAACACCTTGACTTTAGCCCAATGAAACTCATTTTAGAACTGTGACCTCCATAACTGTAAGGTAATACATTTATGGTCCCTTACACCACCAATGTGGCTTAATGTGGCAATGTGTTATGGCTTCCATAGGAGACTAATACACCTCTGCCTCTTGCTTCTTTCAGGCTTCCCACTGGCTGAACCCAACTGGCAGCCAGGGGCCACAGGAGCCTGTTGATATAGTTCACCCAGCTCAGCTTCCAGGGCAGAGAGCAGGGCAAGAAAGGTGGAGAGTACCCCTCGAGGGGCAAGAGGAAGACATTCAGCACAATTATTACCCCCATTTTACAGATGAGGGAACTGAGACACAGAGAGACTAAGTTACTTATTCAAGGTCACACAGCTAGTTGGTGCAGAGCTGGCCATCATGAAGACTAAATAAAACTTAGCAGTATTGCAAATCATTCACTGAGCGCTTACTAATAATGCTGGGCATGAGGCAAAGATTTCCCACCAGAAACATTTCTTATGAGGTTAGGACATAGGAAGAAGGTGCTATTATTGTCATCAGTTGACAGATGAGGAAACTAAGGCTCAGAGAGGTTTCATCATCTGCCCAAAGTCACACAGCTAGGATAGGATACAGCAGGGACCAGGATGTAGACACATCTGATGCTAACATCCACGTGTGTAGCCATCAGGCCATATTGCTACCTCCCTGGTGCTGACCTGACATGTGGCATGAGCTCAATGGGCAAATGATAATGGTTATTATGGTTTGGGGACTGGTGAACAGGGAGGCATCTCAGGAATTCTTTAGACATATTGCTTCCTCTTTTGCCTTTCTTCTCTGTCTCTTTTTTTTTGTCTTTATGCCATTTGAGACTTCCTGATTCTGGGCACCAGAGCTGTGGCTTTATCTAAGAAAACTGCTAAATTTTCTAGGATTTTGGCTCAACCAGATAAATTTGTGGTGGGGGTGAGGAGTAAAGGTGAGGTGTTGGGGGACAGAATTACCCTGGGGTGCAATAATAAGAGATATTTTTATTGATCTCTGCCCCCGGTTCCTGACCTGGAGTTCCTAAAAGCCCTTGCAAATTGGGGTGCTAGGAAAATCTTTCATTCTCACATTTAGTCTTTGATTCCAAGTTCCTGACACAGAGCTCCTAAGATCTTTGTAACTTCCTGAGTGATAGAAGCATCTGATGCTGACCTCCTAAATCCCTTGGCATTCCCTAGAGCGTATTTTGTTCTGATGAGGGGAATCCTGGTGGGCTCCTGGGTAGGGGCTGGTCACCAGAAAGACTAAGCCATAATTAGAAGCTTGAGACTTTCAGCCATACCCCCATTATTCCAGAAAGTGGAGAGGGGAGGGAGAGGGACTTAAAAATCAATCATGCCAATGTGATAACCCAGGGTCTGGAGACCTTCTGAGTTGGTGAACATATCTATAGGCTGGGAGGGTGATGCTCCCCAACTTCAAGGGCACAGAAGCTGCTGTGCTTGGGACTCTTCTGGACCTCACCCTAGAGATCTCTTCATCTGTAGCTTTCACTGTATCCTTTATTATAGAATAAATTGGTAAGTGTTTAAGAGTTTTCCTGAGTTCTGTGAGCTGCTCTAGCAAATGACTAAACCCAAGGAGGGGGTCGTGGTAACTCTGATTTATAGCTGGTCTAACAGAAGTACAGGTGACAATCTGGGACTTGCAGTTGGCATCTTATGGGACTGAGCCCTTAACCTGGGGATCTGACACTATCTCTAGGTAGACAGTGTCAGAATTGAGCGAAATTGTAGGACACTCAGCTGGTGTTGGAGAATTAGATGATGTGTGGAAAACCCACATGTCTGGTGGCAGAGGTACTGAGTGTGTGTGTGGACAGAAGAAACAAAGGAACACATTTTTCCTACGTGCCTGGCCAATGATCTGATCAACTGTCAGTCAAGATGGACAGTCAATTCCAATCTTCTCTTCTGCCAACCAACACCTGGGACAAATTCTGAGCTTTCTGATCTGTTGATGGCATCTTTTCCCAGCCCTGCTCCGTCCTCTGAATTACAGTGGTTATTCCCCAACACCACCTCATCCCAACACGGGCCCACAGGCCTTTCCCTAAGGTACACAGTAAAGAATCATTGATCATTCCCTAACTGATCAGAGTTCTTTCCTTTTGAGCCTCGGTAGGTACTCTTTACAAAACACATCCTCAAAGCCACAAAGAGTCAAAACCCATAACAGCCATCCTTCCCTGGGAGAAGCAGCACACAGTGCATGTCAATGTGCTTTTTTTCTTTCTCAGGTGAAATTTAGATGAAAACTGCATCAAGGGCAGCTTTGAACGATGAAACTTAGGAAATGGAGTTGGAGAGCAGAGGCGTGACAGGAGGGTGGTGACAACAAAGAGTCATGCTCAGCTTCAAGGAATCAGGAGAGGTTGGTAACAGGATCCACCAGCTCAGGCGCTGGTCATTTGATGCCCTGACATCAGCTCTGCCCAGGCCCACTCTTTCCTCCTCCAGAAGATGCCCTGAATCCCCTGCATGATCAGCGTGACGGGGCCCCAGCCTGTGCCTACCTTGGACTTGACGGCCAGGATGATCTTAGGCAGGGCCACGACGAGGCACTTGAGGGCAATGGTGATATACTTCAGCACAAAGTCTGCGATCCCCACGATCCACAGCAGGTCGAAGAAGTCCAGAGTCTCTAGGTTAGGCTTCAGGAAGATGAGGCTGAGGGAGGGTTCAGAGAGTCAGGATGCTCACTTAGGATCACTGGCCCTTGTCAGCCCTTTCTAATCACTCTGGGAACCTTGTAAATATTACCTGTAGAAAGAGTACTCAGCTGGGAGTCAGACATTTCTGCCTTGTTGCTGAACCTGCTACTAACTTGCTGTGTGACCTCAGGTGGGTATCCTGACCTCTTTAAGCCTCTGTTCCCCTGAGAGTTAAACGATGAGATACACTTGGAGCATCATTAGTTAAGGTCCCCTCCAGTTTTATGGGTCCACAAGAGGCTTTACAAGAGGAAGTGGAAGGAAGGATGGAAGGAAGCCAAACAATACTATGAAAGAGGGAGAGAAAGGGAGGATCTGATGTGCAGACACCGTGCTAAGCTCTTTACTCACTGTATCTCATTGTCCTGCACAGTAAGCACTACTTATCCCCACTTTATAAATGAGACACCGAAGATTGGAGAGGTGAAGTCAGTTGCCCAAGGTCACTCTACGTGATAAGCATACGGGCATCAATGTCACACAAACTTGAATTTGAATCCAGGCTTCTCCATTTATTGGAGCCTAGACAAATAATGTTCTCTCTGTAAGCCTTACCAATAAAACGGAAATCGTTCCCTTCCTCATTGCGCTATTGGTGGGATTCAATAACGGACCTACTACAGACTGCCGGGCAGTACGGATGATGATAACATGTCTATGAGGCAGGTGCTGTTATCCACCCACTTTGCAGATGAGAAAACTGAGGCACAGGAAGGTAAAGTAACATGCATGAGGTACTACAACTATGAAGGGACAGTGGTGGATTCGAACCCAGGCACGCTGGCTACAGTTACTGCTGTCAATTCTTACTCGACTGCAGTGCCACTCAGAGTGTGTCAACCCATTTTACCCATCCGTGAGTAGGTAAGTCAACCTCACACTCAATTTCTGTACTTCCCTTGTTGGAGACAGACAACAAACCGTTCTGACACTGGCACAAGTCCACGGACCACACATTGAGTAGCACTGCTCTCCACCACCTCAGAGAAGGATGATGTTACTTGTGGTAATAATATCTTGGCTCTTTACATCATGCTGACCCTATCCTGAATGCTGTGTGTGTCTTAACTCATTTCATCTTCCCAAAGGCTCTACGTGGTAGGCACTAGGATTATCCCATTTTGGGCTGGGGAATCTGGGGCACTATGACGTGGGATAAACTAGAATGTGGCATTTCAGTTAGAATGTGGCGCTAGGATTGGAACCAGCACCCAAACCATGCTGGTCCTCTAGCTTTTCTTCCCGTTGGATAGAGGCTCTGAGAAAAGGCCAGTCGGAGTCCTGCCTGTCCCCTCAAAAGCAGATAACAGTGCACACAACCCAGAGCAAACGCTTTCTAAATGCTTTCCACGCACGCTGCAGGGCTGGTGGAAAACGGTGCACACTGAGGTCCCCTGATGAGAGCATCCTAGAAACTGAGTGGTCTATTCTTTTATTTGTAAAAATCGATTTCTATTTATAACAAAAATCTTTGAAGAGCTAGAGTAGGGCAAAATCAATGAAAACAATCTATTTTGGCAATCTCTCAAGATACCTTCAGTGTCCTTCCACATCTGAGTTCTGTCTCCGTGGGATGCCTTGTCTCCAAGTTCGAGTCTGAGTTGCCATCCGCGTTGTGATGCGGGGAGAGGCTGGCAGCCCTGAGCTCCCTTCTCTTCTTCTGCCCTTGTCCTTCCCTGGGAATATCCCAGGCTGGCTGGCTGACTTCTATGCCCTGCTTCTTTAATACGCATCTCTAATGGCAATAAAATGAAGATCTGCCCTCCACTTTCCATTTTACCTCAGAGACATCTATCTGTTCAATCCACCTGTTTGGGTTGTAACATCGTCTTAGTGTTTTTTGTTTTGGCTTTTGGAGCAGGAAAGATGCCAAAGTGTTTTTCGGGATTGATCACTAAGTCCACTTATTTCTAATGTACACTATGAACGTTAATGGATGGATACATTTTATTGTTTGTTTTGTGCCCTATTAGGCACCACCACCAACAGGTTTAGTAATTCATCATAAAAGAATTGTATTAATTATGGTGTGATTACAACATAGCAAATGTCTCACAGTTTCCCCAGTACTTTTCATGTATTTACAACATTTCCCTCTCTAATAATTAGCCTGTTCAGGTGGATAAGGCAAAACTTTACTTGGTCCTGGTTTCACAAATGCAAAAACTAGGAGGTTCAAAGAGGTTCCTTTATTTGCCAAAGGGCACAAAGTTGGTAAGGGGCAGGCTGAAGGCTGTCTGACGCTGGTCATCAGACTTCAAATCCTGGGGAGATTCAAGCTTGTGGGTACTTACCAGGACTAAGGCCCATTAGAAAGAGTTTCATTAGGCCTCAGTTTCCTCACCTGTAAAATGGGGCCAGTAATATCCTGCTGGGTCACTGGGAGGGCAAAATAAGGTAACAGCTGTTGGTATCACTTACAAACACACTCTAGACCACTCACATCAAAAAGGAAGGAGGCTTAGCTCTGTTGCTTTTTTCCCAAGCCACTGTTTCTCTTTGTGGGCTGCCAGTTTGACTCAGCCCTGGTTTGATGAGGGCACTGAGGTCTGAGCCTCTGAATGTGATCATACCCAGAGAATGGCATGAGCTGGAAATTCATCCAAGGTTCTGGGAAACTCCACCTCCTACACCCTCCACCAGGACTTTGATCTTCTGGGCCAGACAACTAATGCAGTGTGTGAGATGCATGTCGATGTCTTGGAACTAACTTCCCAAATTGCTTTTATGCAACTTCAGGTGGCCCCAGAAAGTGGGAAAACTGCTCATTCCTCAAAGTCCATTTTCAAAATAGATGGACGTGATCTGAAAGCTTGAACTGAGTTTCAGTCCTATCCTAGAGACTCTCACTAGCCATTCCTCCCCACCATGCACTATGTGGCTACTTGAAAATGCAAAATTACACATGTGGCTTGCATTATAATATGACTTCTGCTCTAGGTGTGTGTGTATATAACAACAGGGTGGAATCTGAAAGTTACAACGTGACCTAGAGCCATTGCATTGTTCTGAAGTGAAAGGGCTGTGTGTCAAGGCCAACAAAGTCCCCCACTTTCCCACTGTGGGGGTCAGACTCCCCTGCTCACCTGTTGTACAGCTGCTGGGAACTGAACGTATAGAGCACATAGAGGGTGTTCCCCGCCAGAAAGGCCAAGATCCACAAGATGACCAGTACCGACCTCTTCTCCTAGAGACAAAGCAAGAGATCTGTGGGGAAGCTGAGCTGCCAAAGGTGAACCTGGCAAAACATTTCAGAATGTTCCCCAACAAGGGGAAACTTTTCCCTTTTTCAAAGGTTCCAAGGAAACAGGGCTAACAGTGAAAGGAAAGGCATTGGCATCTTTCCATCCCACTGGAACCCAGAGGATGGTTTCAGACAAGGTAACAAAAATGTGGAAATCTGCTTGGAAAACTATTCAGAAAGGCAGGAGGGCAGCATGGTTAGCGAAAACAGACTCTGGAGCTGGATGGCCTTGGTTCAAATCTTTGGTCTGCTACCTGGGGGTTGTCCAAGCCTGGGTAAGTTACTTAAACTTTCTGTATTTCTCTTTCCTCATCTGTAAAATGGGTATATATTGCACTCTCTTATAGAGTTGTGAGAATTAATGTACATAAAACACTCAGAACAGTGCCTGGTATATAGAAATCATTAGTTTACATTTACTGTTAGGAACTGACTCACAGAGAAATTCAGTAACTCTTGCTCAAGGGCACATGTTTCAGCCTCATTGCCCCTGTTAAAAAATCTCATTTTGTTTTGTTAAGGGTTAAGTAAACTTTATAAATGTAAACATTCAGTCTGGTACGGGTGCATACTTCAGGCTCACTAAGGGGTAAGAACCTGTCATTCTGAGTTTAAACCCAGCAGTAGATTCAGATCGACAGGTTAGAAACTTCTGTTCTCACTTTTTCTAGCATAAACCCCTGGGCTACTGCCCCAGACTGACCATTAGACGTAGGGCCACATTTATAGAATTAAATTCATACTCATACATGTGGCTGTCAAAGCCCTTCGCAATCCAGCCCTGTCTTCTCTTTCTCCAGCCTTGTTTCTGATCAGCCCCCAGGAAGACAAGCCGGGAAACCTTCTCGGTTCGCTGTTTCTTAGTTTCTCAGCCTAAGAGCAACCCTAGGAGATTTCTGGAGGCAGGCTCCTGCCTGTGTAGCTTGGGATACATCACCGGACCCCCATACTCCTGATTCTCAAAAGCTTGTCTTTTCCTGGACCAAGGCAGCTGCGTTGCTGGAATAAGATGAGGTCATAACTTTTCCAGCGTGACCTTCCCTATGGTTTCAGTAAATGATCCACTGTCTCCAGACATAGCTCAGCGCCCCACACACTGTTATGATGCACATTTCCATAGAGTAGACAAAATAAATGCATCTCCATCCATCCATTATTCCAGGAGTGGTCAAGGTTAACTGCCCGAGAAACCACCTCCCACCAACCAACTGCTCTTATCAATGTGATTAATCCACTCGGCAGCCCTTTTTACCCCAATAAATAATAGATTTCAGTTTAGTCCCCTGTAAATCCAAACCCAAAGTGAAGAGAAAGGGAATTAGCAATGCCCGGAGAAGCCAGACTCAGAAGGACAAAATGGGGTACTTCTGTAGCAGTAAGCTGAGATTCCTAAGGTCACACAGACTCTCTTTCACAAAAATACACGCAGACAGCCAAAACATTGCCTGTGTCTTCACAGAGTTCAAGGACCCCTCAAAGCCTGTCCACATATACAGGTATGCCCTTTCCCTTAAAATTCAAGTCAGGGCTCAATTCAGATGTCACTGCAATCAAGAAGAGCCAGCCACAATAGCCTCCCACCATGGTGTTGATCAACCTACTGTTCTAACAGCAGCAGAAAGGGGTTTGCATGAAGAAGATGAGACTAAGGGTCAAGAAGAACCTCTGTCTCCATGCCCAACTCTGGACTTCAATGTGCTCATGTCTTCAACGGAGACTGAGCTGCCCTCCATGCCTCATGGAGGCCCAGGTGGCTCTCAGAAAGCAGATGACCCCGAAGGAGGGTCAGAGAGGATGGTGACTGTTACAGGATCACACGTGCAGTAGAAAACACAGGCTTGTTAAAAATAGCTCAATTACACAGTTCCTATAAGCCAGGAACCACGCTGAACACCTTCCATGCATGATCTCATTTAATACTCACAATGGGTGTATGAAGCTGGTGTGGAAGTTCCTCTTCCAGAGACAGCACCTGGGGCTGAGATCATGGAAATAACCTGTCCAAGGACGTGCAGGAGCTGGGATTTGAACCTGGTGGGGAGCACAGGCTCTGGGCTCAATGCCTGGGTTCATATCCTGATGCCACCCTTTGTCCTGGCTGTGTGGCTTTAGGCAAGAAACTCAGTTCTTAGTCAAGAAATTCTGCGTCACTGTTTCCTCATTGGGAAAATGAATTAAGAATAATTCTGCCTCACTCCCAGGTTGCTGGAATGAATGTGCAAGATGAGCTGTGTAACGGGCTGAGCACTGGGCTGGACACAGTTAGTGCTCAGCAGGTATCAGACAGGGCATTCGGGATGATGGTGGTGAAGCCACATGGCCACTCAGCAGTGCCAGTAGGATGACCTTAACCATGAGGGTGGGCTGGAAGTGAGCTAACTGGTTGAATGCCAGGAGTGTAAGGGGACTGGGCCAGGGGCTCATGGGAGAGATGTTACTACTGGAAGGCTGGTGCGGAAGGATGGCAAATCGGGGAATCTGCCTGGGGTGGGAGGGAGAAGATGGGCCTCCCAAAGATGTCACTGTCCTAATCTCTACAACCTATGAATACATGGCAAATGCAATGTGGGCTGCAGGTGGAATTAAGGTTGCTAATCAGCTGACTGTGCAATGGGGAGTGTCTCCTGGATTATCTGGGGTGGGGGCAATGTTATCACAGGGGTCCCTAAAAGTGGAAGAGGGAGACAGAAGAGGTGCATCAGAGGGAGATGTGTCTGTAGAAGGATGGTTACAGAGATGCAACAGTGCTGGCTCGAAGGAGGATGATGGGGATGTGAGCCAATGAACGTGGGTGACTTCTAGAATCTGGAAAGGGCGAGGAAAGAGACTGACCTCTGAATCCTCCAGAAGAAATGGAGTCCTGCTGACACCTCGATCTTAGGCTAGAGGGCCCCACTTCAGACTTCTGATCTACAGAACTGTGAGGTCATACGCTTCGGTTGTTTCAAGTCATGAAGTTTGTGGTCGTTCATGACAGCAGCCCTAGGAGACTAATTTGCCAGGTGACTCACCTTGAGGGAGACTTGTTCTCGGAGTGTGGAGTTGGCATAGGCGAAGGTGCTGGCCATCCCGATGCACACGGCAATGCCTGCGAGACAGAGGCAGGGCCGAGACCACCCACTCAGACCTGTCAGGCTGTGAGCAAAGTTAAAAAGACACATCCCAGGTCCCCTCGGAGCTGACACGCCAACCACAGAGAAGAGAGAAAATCTCATTTCTGGGGCACTGGGGCCGCCAGGTTTATCACTGGAAACCCTGAACCACTGAGAACAGGCTTCTGACTTAGGGATGGGATTGAGGCCACTGCGGGGGTATTTTATAGAACCAGGCAGAAGCATGGGCTGTGCAGTCTGGTAAGACCTAAGTTCAAATCTTGGCTCTGCCACCTCCTCTCTGTGTGAGCTTGGCTCAGTCACTGCACCTCTCTGAGCCCCAGTTTCCTCCTCTGTAAAACAGGCTGAACAACAGGACTTACCTCACGAAGGAATACTGCTCAGAGTGCACAATCTCCAGCAGTTAGTAAATGGGGCCTATTTTTCTTTCTACTTTCATAAAGAATCCAAGGCATGTGATCTGTAGTAAAAGCACAAGTAGAAAAAGACCCCCACACCATAAGAAATTAAAGTTTCATGTTAAAGGGGAAAAAATTCCTGGCTGACAGGAAAATATGACCCTTGCAGAGGCGAGGAAAGAACTGAATTTTATTTCACAATTTGCCAAGCTATAATCTTGGAATTCTCCCTGAATAGGGCTTTTCAAATCCTACTTTTTGCTCTCTGTGGACAGGATTCTGCTTCCACACAACGTGCAGAACTCCACGTGACTGGATTTTACTTTTACTTTTTTATTTATTTTTTACTTTTTTTTAAAATAGTATATGTAGTCCAGGTATTTTCCAAGATCTACTTTGTAAAAGACGTGTTTCTTCACCAAAAACATACAAAATCAAAGCTAGTAACCCCACAATCCTCTCTTCTATTCTCCTCTTCGATTAAGCAAACAAATCTGCCAACTGAAAAAGAAAATGACCATACTCGAGAATACAGCTTGGTTGTGAGTTGGCTGGAATTCAGGGTAAGGGGGAATAGGTCGGCTTCCATTTCTAGCAATAGAAAGGGAGGGACTGACATAGCACCCCAAAAAGGAAGGAGTGATCTGAGCGGGCTGGAAGTCACCAGAAAGGGGCAAATAAGACACGATGGACTAATCCCCTCTAGGTATCTTCCTGTGGGATGCAGTAGGCCATGAGATAATTCCTACCGAAATTTCTACCACAAGACTAAAACGAGAGCTTAAAACTCTCCAGGGCACAGCAGCATCATGATCTAGTAACAGAGATAATTTAAATAACAGTCGACCAGCAATCACATTTATTGAATGTTAAGTGTGTGTCAGGTACTAGGCTAAGCCCTTATGAATCATTATCTTACTTCCTGATAACAATAGATCGTATTTATTGAGCACTTGCTATGTGCAGGGTTCTATGTTAAGTATTTCATGGGTATTAATAATGAATATGATAAAAATAATCATCTACTCTCACATAGCACTTACTCTCTGCCAGGCACTGTCCCAAATGCTTTACAGATATTAACTCATTTCACCTCACTGCAATCTCACAAAAGCAGAAACTGTACATATACTGTAACAGTATACATAACATACTATTATATTATATGTATATAATAGTATACATAATGTATTATTATATCTATTACAGTATATGTATAGCTATAATGCATGTATACAATATATGTAATAGTACATATAATACATATAGTAGTATATATAGTATTATAATCCCCATTTTATGGATGATGGGACTGAGGCACAGAGAGTTTACATAATGTAGCCAGTGTCACACAGCTAGGAAGGGGCAGGGCCTGGGTCCTGACTGGAGCAGTTTGAACTAAGTAGTATACTCCTTCACATCACCCAACCAGCTGAGGAAGTCTCTATCACAACCCCTACTGGGCAGATGAGGAAACTGAGGCTCAGAGAAGGTGAGTGACTTGCCTGAAGTCACACAGCTAGCTGGCCAGGATTTGAACCCAGTTCTGACTCAGAATTCCAGACTCCCAAGCACTTTGCACCATGAAGACCTCTACTGCCTTCCCTTGGCACCTGGGATAGAGAACCCCCACCCACCCCGTAGGTGAAGCCACAGGCTGCAATCTCTGCATCCCCCGGACTCACCAAGCTTATGCTGGAAGCAAACTTTGGCCAGAAGGATCAGGATGAACGGCAGGCCTTTCTGGAGCCAGCAGATTACAGCCTTCAGCTCGGACAGGGCTGGGGCAGGCGTCCCAGGCTGCTCATCGCCCCCCTCATCGGAGTGTGCACGGTGGTCCCCGCCAACATGCTGCAGCAGGGAGCCCCCACGGTGGCCACCATGGTGGAAGTGGTGATGGGGCTGGCGGTGGTGGTAGGCGCCCCCCTCGCCGCGACCCCCGCCTTCCTCCCTGGATGCAGGCATCTGGATGAACACGTCCCCGCCGCTAGCCGAGGCCCCCAGCACCAGGCTGGATGGGAACGGGGTGGCAGGGAGGCTGCCAGTGGGAAGGCCGGATAAGCCTGAGAAGAGCGCTGGTGGGGAGGCTGCTTCTGCCTTCAGACTCTCAAAGACGCCCCCTTCATCCACACTAGCCTCTGAGCTGAGAGCTTGGCTGCGATTTCTGGGCCAGAAGGGAAGAAAAAGTCTAGCTAGCACTCAGGCACAAAATGACACCAGAGGGAGGCTACAGGGGAGGTTTTACACTGCTTCCACACTCGACTGTATATAATCTATTCACTCAGAGACCAGGGTGCATTAAAAAAAAAAAAAGCATACATTCGATTATTTCAATAGCCCACTAAAAGGGCTTCCCATTTGAAACTCCTTCCTGTGGTCTCGGATAAACTCTAGAGATAGGGACTAATATCATTCCCATTTTACAGATAGAGAGACCAATGCTCAGAGAGATGAACTTGCTGGATGCCCTGGATTATCTGGGCCTGAACTTCAAATTCATCATGTGTCCTCTTCTCACTAGCCAAGAGCTTCCTACTGTAGGGCCTTTGCCCAGGCCGGCCCCTTCGCCGGCTGTCTACCCACACCCCACACTGCCCACCTGGGTAACCTATGCTCACGAGTCAGACTTCAGTTCGAATCTCTCTTGCTGGGTGGAGCCTTGCCTACCTCCCACACAACGACAGTCTCCTTGTTCTTTGCCCTCACTGCACCCTGACCTCCTCTGCATGGGACTGATCACAGTTATTGTTCTACTGCTTACCTGTGCCTCTCAACCCTGGGCATATGTTATAATCACTCGGGGGAACTTTTGAAAAACACCAGTGCCCTAGACCCAGTGTTGATCAACTGAGTCAAAATTTTTGGGGGTGGACTCCAGCATCTCTGTCTTCAGAGCCCTCGGGGTGATTCTAACAGGCAGTCAGCACTGAGAACAGCACATTAGATTGGGCTCTGCTCCCTGAGGTCAAAGGCCATGATTTGGCTCCCCTGTGGATCTCCTCTACCCAGCACAATGCACCTGGCACATAGAATATGCTCAATAAATATTACTTGAGATAATGAATGAGCGTACTAAAGGCTCTGAGAAGGCCTGCAAGTGAAAAAATTAACTCTGTTTAAACCTAGTGTTTCCCCAACTTATTTGACCACAGGATTATTTCCATGGAAAACCTATTCACATCTTGCAGAACACCTGTGAAATTCAGCAGGGGAGATGTTGGTCTGGAGAAATCTTGGGGTTGGCTTCATTGGCCTCACAAACTTGACCTGGAGGTAACATCATAAAGCTGTTGCAAGGGAGGGAACTTGAAGATGCCTACCCACTCCCCGACCTCCCATGGCCCATCATCCCTGCTGGCTCCAGAAGTCCAGGAAATGTGTGGTCCTGCTCCCTTGGGTCTGGGATAATAATAACAATAGTATTAATAATGACAACAACAACTAACACCATGGATATGATCCTCAGGGGGCCTTGAGCTTTCTCTGTACTTCAAGAAGCTAAGCTCAGAAAGCAGGAGTCCTAGCAGGTGTCCACGGTGGCCCACCCTCTCTCCCTCACTGTCCCATGGGGCCCTGAAACCTCCTTCCCACCTTGAGCTGGCCAGCACTCTGCGTTCACTGGGCTCAGGGGCCTCCAGTACAACCAGGGAAGACTCAACCCACCAAGGGCCTTTTTATAGCTAGCCTCCCTTTCCCTGGCCTTCCCCCAGCATCCAGCTGAGATTTCAGCCTAAATGGGAAAGAACATTCCTTAGAGGGCAGAGGCTGTGCTTCTAACTTAACCACTTAAGGGTTAGAGCGTGAGGCAGCCTGGGAGAGGAGTGGATCCACCCAGGCAGCTGAAATGTGGTGTCTCAGAGAACAGACTGTGCAGGGTCAAATGGACCAGGGCCCAGATCTCAGCCCTGCCACTTCCTGACTGTGTGACTTCAAGTCACTTACTTATCCTCTCTGAGCCTCGGTTTCCTCATCTGTAAAATGGTAGTAAAAACAGTCCTGACTTCTGCAGGCTCATGTGAAGGTGACACAGTGGCCTTGGTTTTTTCTGGCATGGTCTCTGCCCCCAAAGATCTCGTGATTCACTGGAGAGTAGACAGTAATTCTGTCTCCAAAGGCTGGAAAAGCTCCAAGAGCCATGCTTATTATATGCCAGATGCTGTGTTTGTGTCTTTTCATACTCATTCACTCATTTATAAGCAACCCTGAGTTTTGTTACCTGCCACTTATGGATGGGGAAACCGAGGCCTAGAGGTGAAGGTGCTTGCCAAAGGCACTGAAGTGGGAGGTCGCTGAGCTGGGATTTTTGGCCAAGGGTTGTCTGACTTAAGGCCAGTGTTCCTCCCTGAAGAACAGGCAGGCCTGATGCAAAATTCAGCCCCAGTGTTCGGACTGGTGGATACTCTTTGTGATTTTGTAGCCAACCTCAGTATTGCAGGGGACCTGGAATATGATGTGAGGGAGGGAAAGTTTGCCTGCCTCCTCCTTGGATGTAGGCACTAGAATGGTGGGGGTCTGGGACTGGAAGACTATCACAACCTGAGAACAGGTACCCAGGGGCTGTACTCTCCTGGGCTTAATGAGATAGAAATTCTAGCTCCTGAGTGTTATAACTGTGTTTTCTTAGATTCTGTATTTGTCTATTTGGCATCTACTCATTTTGGGCCCAACTAATGGGCAAAGTTGTGTACAACTCCCCTATGATCCAGAGCTCAGATCCCCAACCACCTCCTTAATCTAACTTACATCCTCAGCCAATATATCCTCTGCCCCAATTTACCCAGAGCTAGGTCCCAGAAAACTAGAGACCACTCCTGTAGCCTAGAGCCCACCGACATCATTCAGACTAGCCAGTCCTAAGCTGCTTCCCGTGCCTTGCCCTACTTTGTGTGGAAAACACAATAAACGCTGTGACCTATGCTTTCCCTTTGCTCCTTTCTGCCTCCTGACTGACCCTGGTGATTCCCCAGGTGGCCCTGCATGGTGCCTGGCATGCCCTCTCCTCTTGGGAAATGCAAGTAATAAAAATCTTCTTTCAATGTCATCAGCCTCACCATGTTACCACTCAGACCCCTGGATAAATGAAAATCCCCTGGGCACAATCACTGAGACAACAAGTCAAGTGGCTCACTGGTTGCACAGGCTTTGAGAATTACCATCATAGCAACAGCAAGCTGTCATGTGTTGAAGGGGTGGGGCCATCACTGTGCAAAGCAGTTTCCCATCAGATCTCCTTTGCAATTCTGACAAGGAGCCCTGAGGGGCAGGTATCATTCAATCCAGCTTTGGGTTGCCTCTGACCACCCTAAGCCCAGAGCCCTCAGATGGAATGAGGGGATGCCTACCTTTCGGGTGGAATGTTATCCGTGTTGCTGCTGTGGCGTCTCTGCATTTTCCTTAAGACCTAAAAGTCAACATATGGCATGAGCCAGAGTCTCCCAACACTCCCAGATTGCCATGGTAACCGTAAACAAGGACTACTTGTCTCTTACATCCCTAGAGCTCATTGACATTTTGCACACCGTGTTTTGATCTGTTACACCATTTCACCCTCAAATCAATGTTCTGACCCATGAGGAAAGTGTCATCACCCCTTTTCACAGATAAGGAGGAGAAGCCCGGAGGTAGAGGAAGTCACTACATGAGAGAAGAAAGCAGTGAACTGGGCAGCAAAGAAATGTTGCAGGTGAAGTGAGCAGCAGACTGATAGGAGATATGGATTCTGGACTGAGGCTCATTTGTGACCCTAGGCAAATCAGTAATCTCTTTGTGGCCTCAGAATCCTCATGGTTAAATGGAAGGTGAAGTGTCTGAACTCAAAGCTTCCTTCCAGCTCTCACATTTAATAAAGTGGGAATGAAGATGTGAATTCTCAGGGAGACAGGTCACCTGGCTGACTGTGAGGAACCACATGGACTTTAGAACTCCATGTTGACGACACCTGAGGTGGGTATGTGGGGCTCCAGATCGGGGTGTGACCACTGGATTCCAGAGAAAGCAGGCCTCTTCTTCCTCTCTAAAGGGATGCCCAGGTCACAGGAGCTTACCAAAGCCTCCAAACCCTGGAAGGAATAGAACACTTAAGTGAACAGTCCACGAGATGCCTGGAACCTGAGACTAGGCCTTACGGTTTCATGGGTAGCTATCAGTAGATGGTTCTGTTGCCTCCATATCTCTGGTTAGCCTCTCACTGATCCCTCCTTGGGACCCTTGAGGATGGTTATGATTTTAATGGATCTTATCCTATTGTCAAGCCCTGAGTCCTGATTGAGGAATACAAAAAACATGTGTTAGGCCCCCTGAAGGCTACCCACTGCAATCTGAATAAAACCCAAGCTCTGTTCCTGGCCTACAAGTTTGGCCTGATGTAGCCTCACCTGTTTCCAACCTCATTTCTTCCACTCTCCCTTTAACTACTCTCCTCCAACTACACTGGCCTTTAAAAATTTTTTCCCCAGTTTAATTAGGTAGAATTGTCACAATTTGACTGCACATATGCAATATATATTGCACGTAAATACATATACACATTATACTGTACATACTTTTAAATTTTACATTTATGTACTATTCATGGTTTCTAAGTATGTTTAGAGCTTTAGCTTTTTAAACTTAAGAAAGGAATAAAGCCAACCACAAAATAAGAATTAATTCAAAAAGATACACCCCGCTATTAACAGCAACATTGTTTATAATTGCCAAGATATGGAAACATCCTAAGTGCACATTAATAGATGAATGGATAAAGAAGATGGAGCATATACAAGTAATGGGATACAACTCGCCTATAAGAAAGATATTTTGCCATTTGCAGCCCTTCATTCACTTCACACTGGCCTTCTTGTTTTTCAAACAAGCCAGCATTTCCCTGCCTCAGGGCCTTTGTCCTTGCTGCTCTCTCTCCCTAGAATGCTTTTCCTTCTGGCTCCTTCAGGTCAAATGTCACCTCTTCCCAGAGGCCATCTCCTCTCACCATCCTGACCCAACATACATTGCCCTGTTTTACCTTCTTTATAAAACTTATTTATTTACATGTTTTCTTATTTATTGATGATCTGTCCCCCATTAGAATGTCAACTCCACAAAAGCAAGAATCTGTCTGCCTGGTTTGCCCCTCTGTCTCCGTATCCAGAACACTGCCTGGCACAGAGTAGCACTCAACAAGTATTTACTCAGTGAGTAGAACATCAAAGGGTCTCTCACTTATCATTTTTTATATCTGTTGCTCCCTCCCTAATCTTTCATCCCAGAGAAGAAATAAAGGCCAGAGACTTTACATGCATTAGTTTAGCTTCCTTGAATACTTTTTGGTACCAGAACAAATGATGGTATCTAAGCTTAGTTCAGAGCACCATAATCGGCTGTTGAGTGACCAGCTTTCTCCAGGGGACAGCATTGGTGTTACCAGGGCCACTGATTAGAGAGAAAACCCACCAGCTACGCCTCCTTTCTCTTTTGGAAAAAATCAGCCAAGAAATGGGTCAGTAGCACCATCTTCATCTATCAAGGAAAGGTCATCCTGTAAATACTTTTCAAGAACTTGCAATCTCGTCTTAATGCTCTCCTTGCAATGATTTATCATCACCTGCAAATCCTTGGGAAAAATAAAATACAGAATCCCAAGTTTCCATCCACAAATTTGACACAGCCTCCTTAGTCAAATATCCAAGATTCCACTCTCAGACGCTCATTTTCGAAGAGGCCTCAGACTCTCTGTTAGAAGCAGGCCTTACATAATTATTCCCAGTATCGAATTCTGGAATAAAATTTTTGCACATGGAATGCATCTGAATGAATAAAACGCCTTTTCACTCTCTGCTCCATACATCAGACTGTATCTCTAAGAGGGATTTCACCAAGAGTTTACAGTATATGAGATGTTTTAAGCTGCATCCCCGGGCCGTTACATGACTGCACAGAAATGCACGCGAGACAGCATCTCCTGCAACACTTGCATTGGAAGCAGGCAGGTGCACTTCAGATACAATGCCGCGAGAGTTTTTCATTCCTGCAACCCACGTTTAGCCCGAAACGCCCTAGGACTTGCAAGGGCAGGAGACTACATTGATCATACCCGGAGAGGAAAAATAACGTTCCCTTTTTACCTGCCCAGACAATTCAGCAATCACAGAGGCATCATTCACGTCCTTCCAAGCCAATCACTCGCGCCGCCCGAGGAGCACCTGACTTCCGAGTTCTTCCGGCCTCTCCTCAGGGTCTCTCAGGTTTCCCGGCGCGGCGCTAAGACCCGAGCACAGCTGCACCTGCCGCTCGCACACGATTGCCCGCCCCTCTTTCCTGGCTTTAGCCAATAGGGAGCCGCCGCTCGGCAGGGACCAATGAGGAGGGGGCCGAGCGAGGCCGGCGGGTGACGCGAGAGTGGAGGCGGTGCGTGGGGCGAGATCACGTGAGGAGGCGCGGGGTGGCTGCCGGGAGCTGGCTGGGCCGGGGGC